GGCTGAGCTGTTACTATATTTGGAACTATTTTCGTTAAAGAAATAGAGCAAAATCAGGCAGTACTTGTTTACTGAACTGTTGTATTGAATCAATATCACATTTGCAAACTCCCTTAATAACTATTAAAAGCTGTCACTCTCCTTATCGCGATCTGTGGGCGCACAGAAAATGAGAGCGTGCGAGTGAGTTCTCAAGACTCAAAAGCACGTGCAAATGATACGTTCCGTCATCTGTCATCGTGTTATTAGTGCGGAACCTGCGGGAATGAGTACAACTGTTATTAATAGCCGCAATCCCGCGCCGAAATTCAAGTCCTGCTCTGTATTCTCTGCTAATAACCCGACTGTGAATGATGCGAGCGGCGTCACATATGTTGTCACTGAGAAGCTGCAGCCGTGGCCGGGAATGATTTTTGATGTGCCGGCAGAACAACAACAACAACAATGCGCTACATTACAAATTCTTTTCCCCTAATTTTTTTTCGTAGCGATGGAAAACTTTAAACCCTGCATAAACAAAATTTATTTCAAATTTAATTCAAGCACTTTCAAGGACCTATGTTTGTTTTCAAGTACTTTCCAGGCCTTGAATCCATATGTCTGAAATTCAAGTACTTTCAAGAAGCGTGGGAACCCTGAGTAAAGCCACATGTGCCATTCTCACAACCAGCTGAGACACAATAAACAGTATATTGATAAACTATTTTATGCAGAAACTGGCCTAGATTAGCCAGAATGAGCTTAATTATTCAAATGACACTTAAAAATATCTCTCGATGTTTGTTTCAAGCATTGTGTATTTATAAATTGATGTTCCACAATTTACCCTTGACATCAAGTCCGAAACACAATTTAGGAAGAAGATGCAAAAGGGACGGTTCATCCAAAAATGAAAATTCAGTCATTATTTACTCACCCTGATGTTTTGGTTTTCTAATAAGGAGGATATTTTTAGGTGAACTAATCCTTTAATGGACATACAGGTGATGGCAATGATGGATGAAACTAATTCATATTCAGGTGAGAGCTAGTGGTTTCTACTATAAACTCTTTAAGTGATAAATCATTCTACAGCCAATGAGCTCTATTTTGAAAGGTTCTAAACACCACATGCTAGTGACAGCTGCTGGCTGCAAAATAGTGTAAATGCAAAAACAGCTCAATATGCATAACGCCTTTTACAGAACAATTGCTAATGTTTGTAATCTAATAAAGGCAATCTACAAATCAGTAAATATGATTAAATATGAATTATATGTATAATTTAGGGTGTTTTGTTAATTTGCAGTGCTTGTTTTATGTGTGCAAAGGATGAATATTCAACCATAAAAGAGTACTAAAGTCATCACTGATACTGGTTGATTAGAAAGACATGTTAAACTTTATATTCAGATCATCAAGCAAATGATCATTTGCTCTGGTGATGCATATAAATATCAGTAAATGAATTTGATCAAACATTTGGAATCAAGAGTTAGGGATTGATTTTGGACACAGCTTACATCCAATTTGTGAATAAAAGAAATGAATCAGGTGTCTCTTTTGTGAATTCAGCATGTGAAACAATCTTGTTCAAAATTATGGATGAACAATGACGTTGTTAAAACTCTTTTAGGTTATTTTGTCTGTTTTGAACAGTCACTGGACAAATCTAAATTAGCATTGGTGAAAAGGTGAAAGGATTCAAAAAACTTGAGTTACTGTCACTCTTTATAGAGACACAGCTGGATACGGGACACAATGCTGTCTGATACTAAGAAAACATAATAAACATCAGTGATAAAGAGAGATCATGTGATTTAAAGTTATAATTCTGTCTCTAGTCTCTAGTATCCAGTACTGGTTATTACCTGGGGTTAAAGGCCACAGTTCCATCCCTATAATTAAGGGCGTTTTCCATGGATCTATCACTCTTCACAGACACACGTCCGTCCTCTGCTGCTTCCTGGTTTTGGTAGTGATCAACATCCCCCTCCTCTCTTTTCTCATAGAGACTCATTCTCCTGTGATTTTCAACCCTACAATTGCAAACATAAAGAAACAAATAAATAAACAATTCTAATAAACAGCACCTGTAATGTCTAAACCAGGGCTGTCCAAACTTGGTCCTGGAGGGCCGGTGTCCTGCAGAGTTTAGCTCCAACTTGCCTCAACACACCTGACTGGAAGTTAGTCTATGCCTAGTAAGAGCTTGATCAGCTGGTTCAGGTGTTTTTAATTAGGGTTGGAGCTAAACTCTGCAGGACACCGGCCCTCCAGGACCGATTTTGGACAGCCCTGGTCTAAACCAATTAGCCTAAATAACGTTTTTAATGGCTCGTTTCCACTAAGCGGTACAGTTCGGTACAGTACAGTACGGTATGCAATTATTTCCGTTTCCACTGTCAGAAGTTGTGAATGGTACCAAAATAGCGAAACGTACCGTACCACTTTTTTGGTACCCTTCCGTTGGGGTACCTAGCACAGCAAAGGGTACCAAAAGGGTGGAGCTAAACTCACTGTAGAACGTTGATTGGTTGACTAGAATCGTCACTTTTGCGTGATACAAGGGGATAAAGCGTCCTTCACTCGTCCCGCTTTGCTGTCCATAAGTGTTGGGCTTATTTACATCAGAATGCGCAAACACAAAAAAATATATCTGTATTTTATAATTTTATATTTTCACACAGACAATAGCCTTTTCTCAATATGCGTTCTTGTCTGTTCTTGTGGACTTGTGAAACGTCGTTGCCCAAATACCCGCGTAATTTTCTAAATATTACATATTAATATTATAGTTTTTCAGGCGAGAATGTAATTGTTTAAAACTCAAATCTGTGGTTTATTTATAAAGATAGCACCTATTTGATTTTAAATTTGCTATGCCAATTTCGGAGCTCCAGGCTATCACCGTGCGCTCAGTGCTCATGTATCCGCATAGAGCAGCCTTAGCTCGGCTAGTCCTTCTGACATTTGCCACTGGCTCTGATGTCTCTGTAGTGATTAAACATGAGATACAATTCGTTTTGGGTAGGCTATATTTAACAGGCATTCGTGGTCTCATGAATCTATTATTTATTCCTGGTCATATCGTTTTGGCTGAGCACAAAGTTTAACTTTATATATTTATTTTGAACTTTACTGTAGTACAGCGCTGACTTTGTAGTCAGACTGAATTGTTTGCTTTTGTCTTTATTTCCTTTTATATAACCTACCAGCTGGAGTGTCCTGTGATTTCCATTAGAGGACACTCTTTCCAACTTTTTAGCTCCTTCATAATGAACTACATTTCCCATAAACCATTGCCTGGAGTCATTATGGTTTGATCACTTCTGCCTGTCATTTGCTTGTTTCGTTTGTACCATGTAAGGTACTCATTCACTTTTATTGTTGTCAAATCTTGTTTGCGTTACCTCTGCGTTATTGATCGCTTGTATTTCTTTTTACCTGTTTACTGGACTCTGACCACCATGTGTTTTTGACTGCTCCTGTGGATTTCTCTCAATAAACACTGCATTTGGATCCACCGTCTAAGCCTCCGAGTTCATAACAGAAGGCTTTCACAGATCCAGCAGACAAATGAGAGCCAGACCAGTCGTGGACCCGCTCAACCAGTTCCTGTACCTTCAGCAGAATGAACTCTCGATCGAGGAGTACATCCGCAGGTTTACAGAGTTGTCTTATCACGATCCTATAGACAATATAACTTTGAAAGACTTCTTTCGCTATAGGCGGAATAAGCCAATAAAGTCATGGCTTCCAGGAGGAGAGAGTATGTTTAGTTTGCTGACTTTATGGACGATGCGCTGGTATTCAGTGGCTCTCCTTTTACAGTAGGAGAATTGGAAGATGTAAAAGGAACTGAGCAAAAGAATGTGAACACTGAAACAATTAGGAATAGAAAACATTACAAAACAGGAGTCCTAAACACAAGACAGGGGAACACAGGCAAGATATATAACAACCACGGCTACATTTGATTAAAATACAGTAAAACAGTAACATTGTGAAATTATTAGTTTTATTTTAATATATTTAAAGAAGTCAAATATTCCTGTGATCAAAGTCAGATTTTCAGTGTCATTACTTCAGTGTCAGATGATCCTTCAGAAATCATTCCAATATGCTGATTTGCTGCTAAAATATATTACAATTTATATAAAATATATCATCTTTTTTTTTTCAGGAATCTCTGATGAACACAAAGTAAACAAAAAAAAAGAGGTAAAGCATTTATTTGGAAATATTTGAGAAATTTTTACTCTCAATTTGACCAATTTAATTTAATTTAATGCTGAATAAAAAATGAATTTATTTAAAAACAAAAAAAATCTCACGGACCCCAAACTTTTGAACAGTAGTGTAGGCCCTACACTACAGTGTCCTACAAAGGTTTGGGTCTATTTCACAAAGAATCCTAAAGGGGAAAAAAAGCACTGTTTACACTGTCAAAATGGTTAAAGGGGTCATATGATGCGATTTCAATTTTTCCTGAGCTTTGTAAAAATTGACGCGTTTCAAAAAGGCGGGGCATAGAGGAGAAACAATAATGTACAGTATGTGGAAAATAATGTGTTTTTTTAACCTTAGACCACATAAACACATTTCATTACACCAAATACACCAAATAATGTTCTTTTTAGCAACATCATATGACCCCTTTAACACAAATATTTATCAGCAGTTTTTTAACATTGATAATGTTTAGAAATAATGATAAGGATCATGTGACACTGAAGACTGGAGTAATGATACTGAAAATTCAGCTTTGCACCGCAGGAATACATTTCATTTTTCAATATCTTCACACAGAAAACCATTATTTTGATGTTACAAAATTACCATTAAGTAATACAATATTACTGTTTTTATGTTGTGATCAAATAAATGCAGCCTTGGTGAGCAGAAGAGACTTCATTCAAAGATGTAAGAAATGTTACAGACCCCAAATGTTTGTGCCAATTACAGTTATGATGACCTATGTTCCTCCCACTTACATGATACTATGGCATATGTAGACTATTCTAGAGACTGCGTCTGTTCACCGAATGCTAAAAACAAAACATTTACCAAGGGATCTAGAAAAAATCTGATTGTGACTAAACCAGATAACAGCATAATAAGCAAAATCAGGGGCAACGTGGCATATGGTGCTTGGCCTGTAATGAGGTCATAAAACTCTGGACTATTGATAATACCGCGGATATATCAAAGTGTACTAAAGGAAGCAGAGCTTTTTTATTACTAAACGTTTGAATAGCCTTTCTGTAATGTTCAGGGCTAAGACACACTATTTTAGTTTAAACTGGATTAATCAAAGAATAAATAAATATATAAATCTTGTAGCCAAGTATTCACATAATGCTTGTCATAACCAGTTCATCTTTTGTCTGAAATATGAACAGCAGCTATGCTAATCCTTCTATTGTTTTCCTGTTTCTATCTCGGGCCACCCGTCCCAAGGTTAATAGAGATTACACCAGTTCCAGTTTGGATCCACCCTCACGATATTTACTCTTTCCCGAGTTACGTGTACCGAGATATCCCTGAATAAATATTGTTCATTTACACATATTACCAACATTGTAACGATACAATGTGGGTTGAAAAATCGGCAAACTTGCCCTTTAATAATGTTTAAAGACAGCACCATTTTGTGTGTTTAATTGAACACATGACTTGTATTAATCTTTGAGCTACTGTCATATGGACATTACTTCGTTGCCAGAAGATGGTCTTCCTCTGCCTGAGTCTTAATCATCTCTGCCTGTTAAAGGTTATTTTTCAATTGTAACCATTACAATTTCTGTAAAGCTGCTTCATAATAAGTATTGTGAAAAGCGCTGTACATATACCTATATGACAGTTAACCATGATTTTACTATAGTAAAACTGTAGTAGACTAACCATGACTGTAGACTGTAGTAACCTTGTTTTAGGTTTAAACCATGGTTTTGATGCCATGGTTCTACTATAGTAATTTAGTAGTAATAATACTCTAGTAACCACGGTTTTTGAAATTACTGTGAATTTTGTAGTTACTATGGTTTTACTGCAAATACTATACTAAGAAAATGATTATATATTTGTAGTTACTATGATATTACAAAAATCACTGTTAAACCATGGTTGATTTTATTGTTATATGGTTTTACTGCAAATGTTGTGGTAAAACCTGGGTAATTTTCTTAACGGTACAAATAAACGTGAATTAATTGTGCCTCAAGGATAGGCTTAAAACTTAGTTTTTAAGTAAAATATATCAAACGTACACATTATCTGCACATTTATGGAAACATCACGAAATTATGTGAAGAACATTACTGGACTCACCAATAATTATGATAGAACATGTAAGCTTTGGTTTACAGCAGTCTGAAATGGCATCTTAGTTTGTATTTCTTCCATTTACTTCCATTCACATGCGAATGCGGAAGAGGGGAAATGTAAACTCAGGTGAAGTTGTTTCACACTTCTCATTCACTCTCTCTCTGGGTTTATTGGCGGGTTGCAACCAACTTAACCAGGTGCATACCGCCGCCTACTGTACCGGCGCCGGTAACATCAGGGCTTTAACCATTGCTGGACCTGTTTTGTCCCACGTCTCAAGAATGACTGATTTATTACTGTAGTAAGGTGGTGGGGGTGCTTGGCAGGTGTCAAACACTAGAAAGGGGTGCACGCTGCAAAAAGTTTGGAACCACTGTTTAACCATGGTGTGTGGCAAAACTGTGGTTATAGCCTACGAATAGTAATCAATGCTCCAAAAAAATGGTGTCTTTTATCGCAATGATGTTGCCACATAAATACCCCCCCCCCCCCAAAACAAAAACAAGGGGATTATATTATACTATATTATTTATATTCTACACTCTATTCCTGTATCTTTAAGAAACGTAAACAGAGCCTTACTACTTTCCTTCGTTTTCTCACACATCCCCAGAATCCCTTGCAAACTCCATTCTCTCTCCAGCTCATACATTTTATGTCGCAATATATTCCTCTCTGAATTATATATTTTTACACCACATTATGTCATACTCAATATGTTTTTGGTGACATTACAAACATCACAATTATCTGATATGCATTTTCCCATTTTAAAGAGTGTTGATTTAAGTCCAGTATTGGATTATTGAATAAAAGCTGGCTTTTGAACGTTAATCAAGATAGATTCTATATCACGTTAAGTCTATTTTTGTTTTGTTTTATCTGTTGTCTTAGAGTTGTTGACTATGTAGCAGTTAAATATAGTATTTATTTAGCTAATCTTAACTAGCTATCCTGACTGAAAACGTTAACCAAACAAGTTATTTGATATCTTCCTGTGGATCTTAAATCCACATTTTATACATAACTCTCAATATATTGTTTCTTTGCGACCTATTTTCAACCCTCTGGTGCTCCTTATTTAGGGGCCACACTCACATGTGATCAAAAGTGATAGAACACCTAGAGAGTAACTTTTTAATCTTTTAATTAGATTATGTACTGTAATTGTTAGGGCTGTGCAATTAATCGCATGCGATTGTCATGCGCATCTCGTCAGTAAAGCCGGTTCCGTGATTAGTAGTAAATCGCCAAGCTGTAGTTCACTGACAAGCTAGGCGATATCGCGTTCATAATCGAATGCAATTCATCTGCGATTATGAACACGATATTGCCTAATTGTCAGTGAACTACAGCTGTGTAGTGAATACCGCTCAATCTGAAAGCAGGTGATGGAGATTTACTACCAATCATGGGACCGGCTTTACTGACAAGATGCGCATGACAATTGCATGCGATTAATTGCACAGCCCTAGTAATTGTAGATTTTAGTTAAACATATTTTTTCCTTTAATCTTTTGTATTTGAGGAGATTTCATGGTATTAAGGAATATTCACCTCTAAATAAAATATGATTCATAATAAAACAGCAGGGATTAAAGTTCTCCGTTGCTACGACGGATTTCCGTTAATTGGAAAAAATGAGGGAGAAAGAAACAAGTAGCGCATTGTTGTTGTTCTGCCCTGTGGCACACCAAAAATCATTCCCGGCCACGGCTGCAGCTTCTCACTGACAACATAGTGATGCCGCTCGCATCATTCACAGTCAGGTTATTAGCAGAGAACACAGAGCAGAACTTGAATTTCGGCGCGGGATTGCGGCTATTAATAACAATTCTACTCATTCCTGCAGGTTCCGCGCTTATAACACGATGACAGATGACGGAACGTATCATTTGCACGTGCTTTCGAGTCTTGAGAACTCACTCGCGCACTCTCATTTTCTGTGCGAATCAATTGAATGAATGATTCAGTGATAAAATTAGTGACTTGCCGCCACCTGCTGGCGGATTTAATTATATTTTTAGTGTATAATTTCAGTTATTTAAATCATACAATTTTGAATACAGAAATATTAAAGATTTAAAACATTAATCTCCACATGAATGTATGAATTTAATTGCACTCATGCCACCTCTGAGCCTCATTAAATGTCTGAAAATTTACCTACAAGATACTTTTGTGTTCTTCTGTGCCACCTCTGTAGTACAAATTATTTTTTTATTAATACTAATTTCATATGCTTGCTAACTTATTTGTCTTATTCGACTTCTTATTATATTGTTTTAAATAGAATTTTTAAAAAGCGTATAAACGTACATTTTTGAATTTGACAGATGAAAATGATGCCATTACAAAGGTAAAAAGAAAATACCCCTGTAAGTCACTTAAAGGAGTCAAATGTCACCTCATATTAGGAAGGATCATTTTTTATCAGAATTTTTGATTATTGATCAGAAGGTGCTCCTACATTTTTTTTAATTAGGAGGACAAGCGCTCCTAATTACAAGACAAACACTGCTCTTAAACTGGGTGTGTGACGGGTATGGCTGTGGAATGGGATTTGGCTGAGGAAAAATTCAGTCAAAAGATTTTTTTTGCTTTACCCCCTAAAAATGAACTCCCAAAACGTACTGCAACATGGAGCTAAGGAGAAAATGTAGTGTGGGTTCAAGTCTCGTACCGGCAGGGATTGTAGGTGGGGGGAGTGAATGTACAGTGCTCTCTCCCACCTTCAATACCATGACTGAGGTTAAATTGAGCAAGGCACCGAACCCCCAACTGCTCCCTGGGTGCCGCAGCATGAAAAAATGGCTGCCCACTGCTCCGAGTACATAAGGGATATGTTGGTACCTTACCAATCGCATAGATTATTGCGCTCCTCTCAGAGCTTGCTCATCAAGCATGGACATTTTTAAAAAGGACTTAAAGACTTACTTGTTTTATCAGGCTTTCGGCATTTGATTGGTCAGGACAACTGTGAATGACTTGTCTTTTATTTTATGTTTTGTTCCTATGTTTTAATGTTTTATGTTTTTTGATCTTTATTATATACTGCTTGTGAACAGCACTTTAGTCCATTTTTATGGTTTTATAAATAAAGGTTGAGTTGAGTTGAGGCTAATTTTTGATCAGAATTTTTTATTATTGATCAGAAGGTGCTCCTAAATTCTGAGGAAAAATTTTCAGTCAAAATATTCTTTTTTTTGCTTTAACCCCTGAAACAGTCACCACGGATTCACAGGCTCCATATTATTCCTTTAACTTTACAATTTAGACTGGAGTTGAAGAGCCCTGACATACATAAAATAATTTTTTTTATTTTGAGTTTATACAATTGCTTTTGAACAGCTGCCTATGTGAGTCAAATTGACCCACGAACAGCGAAGTTGCATAAAAAGTTTGTATATATATTATATATATTTTTTTGCATATTTCATAACACATCAGCGTCTGCAACTTTGTATGCATGTTAATGACCATAAATGAGAAAAAAGTCACAAAATTTCAAGAAAAAGAGCATAAGTTTAATAGTATTTCAGAAAGAAATGATTGCTCATTTTTACCATCTGTGGCTGACTAAATATTTTTCTGTATTGAAATAAGTGGGGAAAAGCTAATTTTTAGCTTCATAGGGTAGTAAAAAAAACCTAAAATACCAAAATATAACAAAGCAATGTTATTATTTTGGTTCTGTAAAGTTGCCTTAGAATACACTTTATTAAATCGCTTTTGTCCACTTTCGACCACTTTTCTGATTTCTGGTCTATGGATGCAGCTATGGTTTCGCCTCTGATAGCCGCAAAACTATGCTGAATCAATATTCAGAATTAAAATGATTAGAATCAGAAATGGTCAGAGAACATTGTGCTTTTTATTTTTTCGCCTTCAAGCCAAATTTATGATTTCAGCTGGCAAAATTTTAATCCTATAATGTTTAAGAATTACAGTAGGTCAGTGCGCAGAGGGGAGTGGCCATTCAAGTTCTAAATTAAAGGATTTGGATGATGACTGGTGATCTTTTACATGTTAATGACATTAATTAGGAGTCGTTTACAAGGCAGAGAGCTGAAACCATTTTGTTGAGTGTAAGTTCAAGATCATTTGCGATTCATAGATCTGAGGCGCGCTGCGCATACGTCCTACATCATCCGCCGGAACGGCTTGCATGTATGACAGTTAGCGGAAGTGAGAGAAAAGTGTTTATTACGTTTGAAATATGGATATTTTTCTTACAAAATCATCTTTTCTTCAACTGAATACTGTTTCCGTGCTGTTTTGATGTATTTTAAAGAGTTGGCAGTCAAAAATAAAACTGCTGGATTTACAGAATGTACAATGTTTTTAAAAGGTATCAATTGCGGTGTACAGCGTTTATTATGAGGGGGTCGAATCCAGAGCTCAGTACTCACTAGTCACTACTCACTACTCAATACTCATGAGTACTTTTAAATAGGCTACTCTTTTACTCTTACTCAAGTAGTTTTTTGGACAAGTACTTTTACTCTACTCACACTACATTTTTTGGAAGGTAATGGTA